ACCAGGCTCACACCTGCTGAGCTTCAGGTTTCTTGTCAGTTTTCCTTTCTAGTATGGGTGACTTTAATTTGAAGGTGCCTACAAAAAAGCACTGCAAACCCAGAAACAACTGAAACAATTAAAAGACTGAAAAGGTAAAGGTGCGTGCTCAGAGAAAACGTCAAGACGGTATTCGTTGAGCTTTCCTTGAGGGGGTGATGAATTGCTGAAGACCAAGTTTGGAAATCTTGGCTTGGCTTCCTTCTAGTCTGAGAGCTAGAACTGCTGTTGGGGAGAGTCACATCACTCCTACAATTGAGCAACGTCAGTTATGGACAAAGTGAGATTCACAGTGGGGAAAAATGGCAGACGATGTATACATTTCAGAAGAGTAAAAGGTGATCCTTTTTTTGAGCTCGAATGGGATCGAGTTACTGAAGCTGCCCTGATTTAGAACTAGAATCTATGAATTGGAGGGATAGAGAGAGAAAAACTGTAATTCCATTTTTGTGTGTTTGTTTTTTTAAATTGCAGACATTACACTATGTTATCCTGGGACAGAGGGGTCTGAAAGCAACCTTCAGCCGCTCCTTTAAGAGAAAAGGGAGACCTTATTAACCTTTTGCAAATAACACAAATGCAGAACAAAAAAAAAAAACCCCGGAAGGATTAAAATGGATGCAGTTTACATTCCAGTCAGGTTCTACACAGCAACCCTCTGGCTGGAATAAACAACCAGTCAGTGCCCTGCTTTTCTCTGGAAAACGAAGAAGGCTACTTTGTTGTTCACTATTTGCTAGGAGTTCACATTTAGAGTTGTCAGTCCAGCACCAGTCGGAAAAAAATTAGAAATTACTTGTTTGCCTGCCTGTCCCTTTCACCTCTGTCACAACTTCCCCTTCACCAGGACAAAAGAATGAGCGAGGAAGCTGTCCACCTTGCTCATTCGATTGCAGACTAGCATTTCAAATTAAGAGATTATATAAGATTATCTTGATGTCAACCCTTGTTTTGTAGTTTCATTCTCATCCCCACATTTTTTTACTTACAATAAACAAGGGATAATGAACATAACAATTCCGTGAAGCTTAATTAACACACACATTAGTTCTAAATAACTACAGTCTTCTTCTCTGAATTCATCTTTGAGTATAAGAAAGGAAATGCTAGAAGGAAATAGCTTGTTAAGCAATAGTTTAGCAAGCAGAGGTTAATTCTTCAGTGAAAAGTAGAAAGAAAAAACACTACATCTGAAGAAACATCGGGTTCTTTCTATTTTTCAGAGTGAAAATGACCTCCATTTGCTCCTTATAAGATATATGTTGTATTCATGTTTAAAAACTAAGGAATAAACATTTTGTAGCATTTTTTTTTTGCTTTAAAATATTATAATACCTCTGATACAGCTTGGAATTTGAACTGCAAAATAAAGATATGAACGGCTTTAATTCAAACGTCTGTGTAAGGAATTTGCCACTACTGTAATAGGGCTCTGTGGACTTTTCAACTACCATGCTAATTCTTCCCACCATTGTCATCCTTCGACCCTTGACCTTGAAGAATGACCTACTGTGAAGCCATGGCCAGTACATTGATCGAGAAACCCAGTACAGGCTTTGAGAAGAGCCATTCATCAGGTTTAGTTGATCTGGAACTGGGGTCACGTGGGGCCAGATTCCAAATCCTTGGTTAAAAGGCTAAAGGCACAGTACAGAACAAGTTTCTCAGCCATCACCTGTCCCGACATCTCTCGTATCTTTTAAAAGAATGGCGTTTCCTGTCACACTCCTACTTTGAGGGGTCAATCAAACATCAACCACACCAAACTACCACGCAGAATGTATGACGCCAGTGTCGCAAAAACATGTTCATTTAAAAAAATGAGGCATATTAATTTCTTATTACAACTTCTAATATTGAATACTGAAGATGTTCAATAAAAGTGCTTGAGAGGCATTCAGTTATGCAACACATGTAGCCAGTATGATCCTCTGTAACACCATAGCAATAAACGGGAAAATCCAGACCAAGTCAAACTCTTCTACCATCCCCAGAAGAACTTTGCTAGCGGTGCCCCACTGTTTGAGAGAAGCCACAGGTGGTTCCTTCCGTGGACCTGCTGGGGGAACTGGAGAGATACCAGTAACAGGTACTGCATGTATGGTGTCAGTGTGGACAAATTCTGGTCTGCGTCAAAAATGCAAGCATTTTGAAAAAACAGCACAAGACTGCAGATGATGAGTGAATTGTCCACCATCCACCAATAGAACGTGTTGCTAGAGCACAACCTAGACTAGAGATAATGGATTTTGCTGGTTCTGTGGGATCAGTTAGGTACAAAGTATACAGTACAAAGTCAAGCCAGTCTCTTTTCTTTGATCTTGAAAAGCTCTCATATCCCTCAGGACACAAGGGGTTTCACTCTGTTGTGAGTTGTGTTGTGAGTGAGCATCCACCTGCATATACAGCTAAGAAACTTGCATTTCAGCCTGTTTTTGGGGAACTGAAACAGCACAGGTGTTTTGGACTGAGGAAGAGACCAGACCAAATTTAAGGGCCAAAAAACGGACACGGTTTCTTTTTGTAGTTCATTTCAAGCCAAGGTTTATCATCCCCTTGGGTAAATTTGTTTTATGGCAGGATCAACAGAACAATGCAACAACAAAAAAAGACAAACATCACCAGCAAAGAGTACAGGACAACCAAGCTTCAGAAAATGAGAGAATTATTTTGCATTGCTTGACAGGGAGATTGCAGAGGGGATGAAAGATTTACTTTGGACAGCAGCCATAAAACCCTGAAACTCACAACTATCATCCCACTGAAGCTCAGCAGGTGTGAGCCTGGCCAGTACCTGGATGGGAGACCTCCTGGGAAAAACTAAGGCTGCTGCTGGAAGAGGTGTTTGTGGGCCCAAGAGGGGGTGCTCACCCTGTGGTGTGTGTGGGTCCTAATGCCCTAGTATAGTGACAGGGACACTATACTGTAAAAAGGTGCTGTCCTTCGGATGAGATGTAAAACCGAGGTCCTGACTCTCTCTGGCCATTAAAAATCCCAGGGTGTCCCTTGAAAAGAATAGGGGTGTCCTGGCCAAATTTCCCTTCAGCCTTTACCAATCACAGACTCCTAATAATCCCCCTCTACCTATGAATTGGCTTCATCACTCTGCTCTCCTCCCCGCTGAGAGCTGGTGTGTGGTGAGAGTACTGGTGCACAATGGCTGCTGTCGCATCATCCAGGTGGGGCTGCACATTGGTGGTGCTGGAGGGGAGTCCCCATTACCTGTAAAGCACTTTGAGGGGAGTGTCCAGAAAAGTGCTATATCAGTGTAAGGAATTATTATTATTATTATTGTTATTATTATTATTTATTATTATTATTATTATTGTTATTGTTATTATTATTATTATAATATCAGGATATTATTTTGCTGAGCCTCCTCCTCAGCTAAAGATAGCTGCTCTGGGATGCAGTATTTGGTTTAAAGAAATGCGTCACAAGCCGGCATTACTTTAAAGATCAGACTGTCCCGTAAAGGTTTTTTTGTTGTTTGGAAACCTTCTAACATAAGATGCCCTGTTTCTATTACATGCAGTAAGTGCGGTTCACTCCCAAAGCGACAAGTGGACTGGAGCAGCAATGAAACTTAGGACCTCACTTTTGTAAATATCTGATTTTGGTTGTCTGTGTTGAATAATTTAAGAATGTGCTCACCTGACTGTGCCAGGAACACGTGTCTTCTGTACTTGTGGGATGTTCACATTCACAGCAATAGTGGGTGAGTTATCTGATATCTTAAGATAAATTAATATACCATAGGAAGGTGATTATATTTTCCCTTCTGTTTTCTATAATATGCTCCCAACTGAACCCAAGTCATGCAAAAATAAATACCTTACACCCATGTAAAGATACTGAATATAGGTGATTTGTCATTCCCAATGGCTGACAAAATTTGCTTTTGTACTTACATTTGCTGATCACGTGGGGTCAGTACAGAACAAGTATCTCAGTGGTCACCTGTTCTGACATTTCACATATCCTTAAAAGAATGATGTTTCCTGTCACAATCTAGGTGTTTCCTCTACAGAGCCACGATGTAAATTCCTCTGAACTGTAATTGGCCTGTCTTATTTTGTATTAATATGAATAAAAAATACATTAAGTAAATTGTTCCTGCAATCTGTGTTTTTGAGATTCCCTATCAGACACTGTTAAGGCCACAAGATGTGTTAGCCGATGAAACGTTCAGTTTCGCGCCTTTGCATTAAACAGTGATGCAACGGATCAGATCAGTAGCATAATCTGAAACATTTTCTCGGAATTTGACATATTGCTTTAACAGGTTGTAACCCCAAATATTTTTGACTTTACTCAGAATATCTTTTTTTTTTGTCATCCAGTTCAGGTAAAAATGAGTTGCTTCTTCAGAGAATGCCAAATATGGTTCTTTGGCTGAAAAATGTTTCTAATCTCTTGGGAAGGAAATTGGCCCTTGTGTCAGCGTGAATGGATTGTTAGGGTCATGACCTCCGGATGAGAGTTCAAAAACCAGGCGACCCTTTTGTGAAAAATGTCCAAAAAACGGTCTAAACAGAGTATGTCAAGATCACCAGGAGAGCTTCAGAAGAATTAAGCTGTTTTTTTCTTTCTAGGTTAAGGTTTTCAGGAATGTGGTCATAATTTGTCTGAAGACCTGCTTTAAATGGAGCTGTCAGTTTGGAACTTGTTGCTTTTTCTTTTGCTCTTAAAATCTCCCTGGACCTGTGGTCCAAACGACAACCACATGATAAGTAGATATTCTGCAAACCTCACCAAGCGAAGGAAGCAGGATAGGAGGGATTGAGTTCGAGCTCAAGCCTCTGTGAAAATAGCCGCCCCCCTCCCCTCCTCTCGTCTCCTCCTCACAGCAACCGCAGTGTCCCTGGGTTATGCAATCGTTCTGACACACCACCGGCTGCACAGACCTCCAGTGTGTTCTCTGAGGGCGCAGCAGCGACCGTCTGAGGTTCAGAATGACTGGGGGTTTGTGTGTGTGTGTGTTTCTGAATGGAACTGGTGAGGTGTGTGTATGGGAGGGTGGTGGTGGTGGTGAGGGGGGGGTTTGAGGGGAGGCTCAGTGGGGGTTGGTTCAAGTTTAGAATTACACAGCTACCCTCCCTTCTGCACACACTTTAAATACTCAATCCGCCGGGCTCACGGATCAATATTTTGGGCAAATTCAAACGAAAGGGGAAGATTTCTTGCTCGCCCGGGGCAAAAGGTAAGACTTCTGATTCACGGCATTTTTTGTCTAACCTATGCACAGAAAAATAAGGCATTGCTTTACTTTACTGGTTGGTTCTGCTGGTTTTAACTTTTCTTGACCTGTTTTAGTCTCACGCTGTTAAAAATGAAGGTGGTTGTCTGTAAGTGCACATGCCATACCTGCTGTCTGTAGTTTTACATGGATTAGTAATAAAACTGTACCCTCACTACCAGTAAGGAAAATGTGTAAAGCATGCTTGTGGATAGTCCATAATGTGAAGTATTTTTAGACCAAATGTGTTGCTATTTTGAGTGTCTTTGGTTCTAAATATATTTTTCCCTTTTCAACATTTTTACCTATTTTTACCTATTGTCCACTTCAGTTTTGAACAGCATTCATTCTTTTTTTATCTGAATTGACTTCTTCCCAGTGTTTTGGTCTCTTTTATTGAACTATAGTAAAGTACATTCCCTTAAACTTTAAGCTTTCAAATTTGGATACCCAGCTGTACATTAATAGGACTGGACAAGTGTAATAGCTTACCTTTATTTGCACAGAAGTGATCACATATTGTTAAGCCACTTAATAACTTCTCTTCTAGAATTAAGGCAGCTGCCTGTGCTGGAATACTTTTCCACATTTTTCAAGTTCTTCAAAATGTTTCCTTCTTAAGTGGGCAAATAATAACTGCAATATGTTGTAGTTAGATTTGATGTATAACAGTTCTTGGCAGCAGCCTTTTTAATTTGCTACTTTTCTGTTGTGACAGGTAGCTGTATTAATTTGAAGGGATCCCTTTTAAAATAGTTGGACAGAGATCAAAACAGAAAACCATTAAAAAAAACAACCAAACGTAAAAAGAAACAGGACTTCAAGTAGACACAATGAAGCAAATTACTTCAGAAGCTCGCAGAATGTTATCTTCATAAAGGTAATTGCTATACTAATGTGGATTTAATTAAATCATTTACTAGAGGATTACAATGTAAACTATATTTAATCATTTAGCCAGGTTTTGAAAATGCACTAGTTAAAAAGTATAAAAAGGTTCATGCTTATGTGAATATTTTTATAGAAACGGTGCAGTTGCGAGTTCACCAAGCGTTTATGCTGGTGCCTGGAATGCAATTAAAATAAAGATTCATTCTCTGACATGAACGATGTTACATGTAGCAATCTTAATGGGTCAATGAAAGTTATGAGCGTTTGTCTAAAACGCAGACTGAAGTATCTTTTTTGCATAGTGCCGGACGAAGATATTAAAAACCACATGATCTTTCAGTTTATAGACCTCCCTTTGCCATGTTGATTGAATAGGCTTCGGGTTGTCTCAGTTCTCGCCAAGAATAAACAGACTTCTGATCATGTGTAGAGTGATGGATGGGTGTATTGGATAGGTACAGTACCTGGATGGTTGGAGTGCCATATTATGATAGTGAGCCCCATTCGAAAGCACATTACAAGGAAGGGTAATGGCAACAGAAGCCAATTGGAAGTGTTTATAGAATAAATAAGGAATCCATACACAATATTTTGCACAACTATATTGATCCAAAGACATAGGACATAATTCAAAGCAATTGTAAATCTAACATTGTTGCGTTAAACCTATCACATGCATGAGGAAATTTAAAAACCCAAGTCCCATCTTATACAAAGGACATTGCTACATCCATAGAGATCAATACCAGAGGAGTGTTACTAAAGATGTGGTCGTATCATTCCAGGCTGTTTAGCAGATACTCTATCACAGCCACTACTTTTTTCAGATAATTGTTTTAAAGCAAACTGATCGGCAGTCTAAGCCAATCAATTCTCAAGTGTCCCCAGGCTTTGCAAGTTATCATTCGCTGAAAGGCAGAGGTGCTTTCGAGTTCAGCAAAAGGCAGGAGAGAGGTGTGGTCTGACAGTACACATATTTAAAAGTCAACATTACTGAAGCACGTGTTCTACAGTGGCATGGCTACAGTAGGTGCTGTATGTCTGGGCATTTATCACAGACCGGTTTCCAACGGCAGCGTAGTATTAAGGGGTGAATTCATTGCTGTTGGCTGGTTGGAAGCAGTTCGGACCTGTTCGGACATGAACCTACATATTTCTTGTAAAGGAATCCCCTGTACGTCATGGATTCTATGCTTGACCATTCCTGTCATGCGTTTACTATTTTTGTTTCTCTGTGCTTTTAAATTCCGCTTTTTTCTTCCCAAACATTTCCTTGTCTTTTTCTTCACACCGAGTTTTGCTCTTGGTGAACAGTGTGTTTTTATGTGTTTTGTGAAGTGAGAACTGAGATGTTTTCTTCAGTATCCACCAGTCTGCATGTTATTTTATCAGATGACGTATTTAGCCTCATTTTTAGTGTGCTTGTATGTTTTATTTTAGAAAACCAACTTTATAGCATGACATAGTGTTGTTGATTGCAATAATTTATCTATTAAAGAGCCATTTCACACCATTTGAACTGTTCAACTTACAAGAGATGAGTATGAAGAACACATGTTAGTGAAGATAACAGGTACTGGTGTTCTTTGCAAAGCCTTGGCATTTTTCAATCTAGGCAAATGATATTTCAACAAGCTTCAAGGGCTAACTTGTATAAATAGATAACTGCTACTGTACCTGCATACTGTATCCTGCCACAAGACATAACATGGCACTTATTGTACCGTGATAGCTGTGGCTGTGAATCACTGCTTTCATGTAAATAAACTCTTAGGAGGTAGGGTTCAGGTTATGAATAGCATTTAAAAATTACATTTTGTATGTGATTTTATTTGTTTTATTCTATCGGTGCAGTGTTCGTGGGGGAGACCTGTTGTACTTCTGAACAAATAATAGAGACAAGCAGACAGAGGAAGGCATTATAGGGGAAAATCATAAACACTTCCAATCTAAATCTTTCACTGCTGCCTTTAAGGAAGCAGCAGCCAAGCTTTTAACGTTCGTACACTTGCAGTGTTTCTATCGTTTAGTGAGATATTGTACAGAAACTGAAATAACTGAGAGCTTACAATAAAACATAACTGTTCATCCAGAGGAAGAACGCTGTAGTCTGGTAGGTTAAAGACTTATTTTGTAACCGAGAGAGCAGAACATGTTAGTAGGTTGCTGCTCGACCTGTTTCCGATATCTCCTGATGGCTGATGCAAGAGTCATCTCCTAATTTCCAAATTTTACGGTTCTTTAAAAAAGGCGCTGTCCTTGGGATGAGAAGAAAAACCGAGGTCCTGTCTCTCCGTGGCCATTAAAAATCTCAAGGCCTTTCTCAAAAACGTCTCCTGTTGTTTACCAGTCATGTTGTTTACCTCTGTTCTTCTCCCCACTGGTTGTTGGTGTGTGTGGAGTCTGGATACTGGTGCACTTGGGCTGCCATTGCATCATGCAGGTGGGGCTACTGTAAAGCATTTTGAGTAGAGTTTCCAGAAACAATGTGCTATGTAAGGATTATTATTATGCACATATATACAGTATAGAAAGACTACAGGGGCTGCTGTTTGCAACTGTCCCAGATTTTGCTCAGATGCTGCACAGAAGCTGTCTACATTTGCTTTCCATCTGAACTCGGCCAGGCAGCACCAGATCAAGTAGCCACAGGCTTCAACAGCTGCACAGATTGAGCTGCTTCTGAAACACACTGCACCAGAGCAGATACGTCTGAGAGCAAAAGTGCGAGATTAGAATTAGGATAAACGTAATGACTAAACAGCAGAGAAGCACTGACAGCTACAGGTAGTGGGAGAGGCTGTTAAATAGTCACCAGTACGCCAATAACAGACTGGTTCGGGTTCTTAAGACCTGGGTTGAAATTAACACTTTCAGATACTGTTCTCTCCACCCTTGGTGCAGACACTTCAACATGCTTATTTGTACATAACCAGGAGATGACAAAAAAAAGACGATTTATTGTCTCAAACAACATTTCCCGCAGCCCTTTCTTCAACTCTCTACCTCTCTCCCACACATGTTCTTATTTCTTAGTTATTGCTTAACTGTGCAACAGACAAAAGTGTGAATAAAATGTCGGATACGAAGGAGAAAAAAGATCATAGTAACAGCAAGTACAATACAATTTCAGCCTAGCAGCGAGCACGGTAACTTTGGTAAGGAAAATGCAGTGCAAATGGTGCTCAAGATGACCAAAACTGCACCCAGCAGGTGTAGAATGTGGTTTCAATGCAGCAATGTGGATGCGATGTTGGTGTCGTATAACAGCACCTAGTGAATTACCCAACCGGTAAATACAAAGTCATTAGCGCAATGTAGTTCAAGTTGGTAGCTGCATCAGCATGCGTAGGCTGAAGAGAAGAAAGAAAACACAACGTTTCAGCTGTGGAGACTTCTTCGAAATGTCGTATTTTCTTTCTTCTCTTTTCAGCATGGAATCAACCTATTACTTCTTCCTTACGCAATGTCGTGTAACATTTAGTGAAGGATATATTTGAGAGCTGAGATACCATAGACAGCTAATTTGTCTACAGTCAAAAGGTGGTCAAGAAGCGAACAGTCAGGCTTAATATTGTGAGGTATACAGTACATACTGTATATTGCATTGTGCTGAAATAAACCCCATGAAAATTGAATATCCAAGGAGCTAGAGTTGAGGATCAGAGATGCAAATTTCTTTTTGGAAGGCAAATGTAATTGTAATAAAGTATATCATGAAATTTAGTTTCTTCACAGATTATGGACTTTTGGCCCTAGTAGTCAGATCCTGTTTATGTTTGTCACTTCTGTGGTACAAAGTGTCATGCAGCATGGAATTACTGTCTGATATACAGTAGCAGTCTTTCTGTGCAACGAGAAAACCAAGAGGTGTGCTATAAGTGGGACAGCCACTGTATGTGGCTACATTAAGAGTACTGTATGTTGAGACTGGTTGGTGTTATCTCTTCTGATCCCTCACATGTTTTGCAGGAAGAATACCAACTGATGCCTTCAAATAGACATTTCACAATTCCTTTATCCCACATTCAATCAAATTACTCAGTGATTGATTATTGGATATGGGCAAGTGCATTCTGTGGTTAAGGGCAAAATTAAGAGGCAATGTGTATTTACAGGGGCTTAGGGTGATTGTTGGTGAACTAAACTTACTGGTTCAGGTTGTCTGTGTGGATTCCAGTTGTTGTGGTGTATACTGTATGGGCTCATGTCTTTTATGTGATATTAGATTTCTTTTTAACTTAATGTTTATTTGTACTGTTTATACCGTGAGTCTCTGTGTGTTTGAAACACAGCTGCTTGGATGCAAAACAAATTTCAAAGAAATTAGACAAATGAACATATCACATATATTAATGGACAAAACTGTCCAGCACTTTTTATCCATCCATTTTCTAACCACTGTATCCAATTCAGGGTCATAGGTGAGGCAGAGACTATCCCAGCAAGTAACAGGTGCAAGGCAGGATACAAGGAGCTAATGTTCCATGAGAGCATGAGGAGAACATAGAAACTCCACACAAATGCTATCCTTTGAATTGAACCCAGGGCATCAGGACTGTGAAACAGCAATACTAACCATTGAGGCACCATGCCACCCTGGAACTTTTAATCTGCCATCAAATATAAATTCCATATAACTTGGATTTAGACATTTCCTATTTTGTTATGACAGTGAGAAATGAAAGGAAGCAATTGACACTAAAGGTGTTTGCTTAAAGTAAAAACCGACAAATAACTGCTGGAATCTCTTGGAAACAAGCTTTTCTGTTTAACATACTGAACGAGGCTCTAACCCTTTTCAGGCTGAGGGTCGTAATCCAAGGGAATTTGCCCAGAATATTCCGTTTTCACTGTATCAGAACTAGCCTTCAGACCAGAACGCTAGGGAATTCTGCTTCCAGGCAGATCATGACAGCTGTCACATTTTTGAGTATCCGTACCAGAGCTCGTAAGAATCTTAAGAATTTGCGTCGTTAATTTACTGAAAGCTAGGTGCGGCATGCTTGTGTGAAGTACGGTTTATTGTAAAGAATATAGAAATAAATAAAAAAATATATAAATCAGAAACCAAGATTATTGGCAAGAGATAGCAGCGTTTCCTGAAGTACGATGGAGCTGCAGCAAAAGGCTAAATTTATTTCGGAAGTCACGCACTCTTTCCCACCAAATACCTCTTTAAATCTGAAGCTTCCGGGTTTATTGCTCTTTTCTCTGTAATGTACGATGTAGCAACTTCACCTCAGCAAGCGAAAATGTGTTCCCAAGGCTCTTATCTCGGTAGGATGCCCATTATGCTTGTTGTTTCAAATCTCAAGTATGTCGAGGGACATACTTTTTCAGTGCTTAAGGGCAGCTGGAATGGGACATTCAGTGCTTTTGGACACCAGGGGACATTTCCTGTTTTCTCTCTCGTTATAGCTCACGTCTGCAGTCACATAAAAATTAAGATCTTTTTTTAACAAGCCATACAGGGAACAAGTTAAGTGAAGGAGATGTGTTTTGTTAAATAAAATGAGACAATGTTTTAACTCAATTTTACTTAAATCTATGCCTTGACACTTACCAGGGAACTTTTCAGACAGAGGATGGATGTTTCTTACTAATTACAGCAGAGAGCACTGATAAAACTATATATATATGTGTGTGTTTATATTAAAAACTAAGTGTCTACTTTTGAGACAAAAAAAGTATTTTATTTCACAATGCTAAAAGGACTATAATAATAGTTTTTTAGATTTGTTAAGTACATAATTATTTGGAAATGTTAAGCTCCAAGCAAAAAATCTTTTTCACATTGCGTCTTGTCAATAGATGCCAGTTTCACCCTTTTTTTTCCAGTGCAAGAGGAGTTTTGTACCTTGTGACTTGTGAAAACACTCAATCAATCTTGTGCAATACTGACATAAAACCGAGAGCTTTGGCTATGGGGAATAGGAGCGATATATATCCAAGAAAGTGTGAAAAGAGATGCAAGAAGCCCTACACTTATACGGCATGATCTTGGGATGAAAGTTTTAAGTTTTGAACAAATCGAACAATCAGTATCATTGTACAACAATTCAAGAAGTTGGAAAATATTGTATGCTCCATTTTCAGCAACCCATTGTCCTTAATAGGATTGTGGTATGCCTGTGGCCTAACACAGCAGGCAATTAGAATGTGAACACTCAGAAGCATTTAGTCGCACGGGGGAGTTTTAGAGATAACAGTTAACTTAGGGGCAGCATGTTTGCAACTAGGGGGAAATACAGTAGCTGAGGTACCTGGATGAAAACCCAGTGAAAACAGGCACACCATGCAAACTCCATGCAGACAGAGCTGGACTTGACCCCTGGATGTGCTTCGCCACTGTATTGCCCTCATACTGTGTATTGTGTAGGGGAAATCCACTCTGAAGTTGATTAGGAAGACAAACAATGCTTCAACACACTCAAATGATAGGAAAGAAAAGTACGTGTGACATAATGTAATGGGGGTTTTAATTTGTAATAGTCATCCATAATACTGTACTGTCAGTGCAGTTTAAATCTCTTTAAGTCAATTAAATTACAATCATTCACATTTAGTTTCAAATTCAATATTGTCCTTGACAATTGCCCAAGAAAGGAGCCTCAGTATTAATACCACACACTGTACATCCAGCCCTTGCAACAATAATTATTTTGCACTGATGACTTAATAACCTAATCAGAATTTGAATCTTACCTCAGGGTTGGATTCATGCTCTACTGAGTTCTGATGGGTTTCGGGCTGGCCTTCAAAGAGCGTGAAACTGATGATGGATGTAGTGTTCCAGGAGTGGTTGATGGTTATTTAAATTGTATTTATGGTTATTTGAATTATCAGGGAAAAGCACATAAGACCATCAAATCTGATTTCAGCAGCCACATCACTCTGCAACTCACAACTGGCAACCCACTGAAGCTAAGCAGGTGTGAGCCTGGTCAGTACCTGGATAGGAGACCTCCTGGGAAAAACTAAGGTTGCTGCTGGAAGAGGTGTTAGTGGGGCCAGCAGGGGGCGCTCACCCTGCGGTCCATGTGGGTCCTAATGCCCCAGTATAGTGACGGGGACACTATACTGTAAACAGGTGCCGTCCTTCGGATGAGACGTAAAACCAAGGTCCTGACTCTCTGTGGTCATTAAAAATCCCAGGGTGTTTCTCGAAAAGAGTAGGGGTGTAATTCCGGCGTCCTGGCCAAATTTCCCATTGGCCCTTACCAATCATGGCCTCCTAATAATCCCCATCTCTGAACTGGCTTCATTACTCTGCTCTCCTCCCCACTGATAGCTGATGTGTGGTGAGCGTTCTGGCGCACTATGGCTGCCGTCGCATCATCCAGGTGGGGCTGCACACTGGTGGTGGTGGAGGGGAGTCCCCATTACCTGTAAAGCGCTTTGAGTGGAGTATCCAGAAAAGCGCTATATAAGTGTAAGCAATTATTATTATTATTATTTCAGTGGATTTGTTGGATAGTTCATTGAAAAAGAGGTAAAGTAAAGCAGGGGCTTTATTAATTCCACACGAGTGACTGCATATTGTTAATGAACATCGCGGTAGTATGATGGCGCAGTGGTTAGTATTGCTGCCTCACTAGATGAGGGTTCTGGGTTCAGTTCCCAGAGTGCTATCTGTGTGGAGTTGGCGTGTCTTCCCTGTGTTAGCATGGAAACCTCCAGGTGCTGATACATTAACTGGCTTCTAGGGAAACTGGCCTTGGTTTGAGTGCATGTCTGTATGTCCTGTGATGAATTGGTGTCCAGGGTTTATTATGCCTTGTGCCCATGGCTTGCTGGCATAGGCTCTGTCTCTCCCACACCCCATATTGGATAAAGTGCTTATAAAACAGATGGAATGGATGAAGTTCTGAGCACTGAAGTTCTGTGGTTTCCACTGAAGAGTGACTTTTCAGAGCTCCAGGTGTGCTTACCCTAAACTCAGTAGGAAAACATAAAACCATCAACGTATAATCAAAAGTGCAGCACAAACATCTCATTCCTGAGTATTTATGCGTGATATTAAGTTAAGAAAGATATTTAAGGGATTGTCAAATTCCATTCCCTATGACAATGCTTCTGCTCACTGCTCCTTTGTATATAAATTTCCTAAGAAGCTGCAGTGCTTGAACTGTGAAAAAATGTGTGTTGAACTGCGAAAAACTGTGTGTGTTGCTGTGCTAGTGTTGGTGAAGGAGGAGTTAATGTGTAGTGTTTACCCTTGCCTTGCTGTGATGTCAACAAGGGGCTCACTGTTCTGTAGGAAGCACAGATCGCTCACATAGAAAGTGAGTTTATACTGAGAAAGTGTGAGATCGTTCTTGAAGCACACTTTCAAAGAATGAGGGAGAGGCAGTACAGAGGGTTAACATTGTGACCTTCTCATGTTCTATCAAAGCTCAAGTGACTCAGGCCATATTACTGGCCTGTCTTGTTTCAGCCCAGTGTCCAATGCCCCTGTTACCCACCAACCTGCACAGAAGATTGTATATCACAGGGCGATGAGGTCAAAAGGAGATTCTCGTAATGGAGTGAAATGAAAGTGATTATCTGTAAATCTTGTCAATTGTGAAATATCCACTGAGCATCATTGTGTTTAAGTAATCTCCTTAGCTTCAAATTACTCTGTAAATTAAGAAAATACATTCTAAAATTACATTGATGTACAGCGGCTTGGTTCTTTATTTACCTTGCTGGGGGTGATGGGTCTGAGTCTCACCTGAAGCAGTGCAGAATTCATTCTTACTGTATATCCTGAAAAACAGCTGTCGGCAACTCAAATGCTCTTTTGACTTATGGAAAAAAAAGCTTCGGTGTTTATGTTGATAGATCATTTACATCTTGTGTGGAAGTCATAAAAAGATCAAGCGTGATGTCAGTGTAGTTGTAGGCACATGTAGTTAACACTGTGCAACTTTAATCAAGAGACGTTAAGTTAAATTTACGTAAGACACTTGTATAATACTGTGTACAATTCAGGTCAAGACATTATAGGACAAGATATTGCTGCTCTGGAATCGGTCCAGGGAGTAGCAACTAGATACATTCAAGGGCTGAAAGGAATGTCCTACTCTGACAGGCTGAAAGAACGGAACCCTTTCAGTCTTGAACAGAGAAGACGAAGAGGCACAAGAGTTCAAAACTTCACAAGAGGTGCTTTACGAAGTAAGAAGACTGGGTGCTTCTTTACCCGCAGGGTTGTGGGAGTATGGAACAAACTACTCAGCCATTTTGATGAAGGAGATACCCTGGTTTGTTTTCAAGAAATGGTGGGGGGAGATCCCTTTGATCAGTTAAATACTACCCATCAGACGGTCTAGAGAGGTAGAATGGCCTCCTCTCTTTTATATCTGTTCTTTTCTTTTTCTTCTGTTCCTCAAGTATTTCTGGCAAGCCGGCATTGTTTGGCCGTTGTGGGGGCGATATGGAAAACAGGTTTCGAGTGGACGCATCCAACGGCCACAGCCGCCCCCTGGAGATAGTGGCTCAGAAGGAGGAGAAGATTAAGGACAGAGGACAATGGAATAACAAGGTGGAGTTTGTGCTCTCAGTGGCTGGAGAGATCATTGGCCTGGGCAATGTGTGGAGGTTCCCTTACCTCTGCTACAGGAATGGCGGGGGTGAGTATTTATCTAAAGAACTTTATTATCCATCCAAAAGGGGTAGAAATTTGTCTTAGGCATCGTTGTGAAAAACCACCAAATCAGATGACACTCAACCTGAAGTGAATACACATTGACAACATGCAATAGTCCTAGCCAATGAACAACACTCCTACACACATCTCACTCTGCCCATATTGCATTTTTTACATTAATCAGATAGCTCCAAACAGAAAATAGTCACTCAGATACCTTTGATATACAGGACATACAGGGAACAAAAGATTTCTTTTAAACATTTTTCTTGGTCACAGGCATTTTTTCGATGCCTCCAAGAAGGTACAGTAGCAGTTATAAGTGGGAGGGGTTGTCAACAAAAAGCTAATCTTTCCTGACAAATTCAATATAATTCAGTTCTTTAAGCTATTTATGTGGGCGATCAATTATTTTACCAGCAATATTAACAATTCTGGCCAGTTTCCCTTTCCTCTTAACACTCAGGCTGCCATACCACACTGTGATACCAAAAGATAGGAGCTTTCTACTCTCTCTTAAATGTTTTGACTCACCCCAAAACCTCTCCGCTTCCTGATCAACAGTTTACCCTGACTAGCCTTCTTAAACATACAGTAGAATTGTTATCTTCTGAAAAGTTTAAATGTTCACCTATTACTGTTCCTAGGTGTTTGTGAACAACCTCCACAAGGTGATTAATAAGGGAGGGAGGTTGAAAATCTAACATATTACTATCACAGGTAGCCAGTTCTTTGGTTTTATCAACATTAATATGAAGCACGTATGACTGATATCACCTTTCCAATGTACTTATCTGTTCAAAGTAATTCTCCACCTTTGTCTACCATTCCCAGTAAATAATCCTACAGCCATACCACCTGCATACTTTAATAGATTAACAAAAGTAGCATTTTCATTTCATTCCTATAGATGGGAAATAGTTAAGGTGACAAAAACAAAACCCTGGAGAATACCAACATTTAAAACAATTTCATTTGAAAACATTGTTCATAAGAACTCGCGGTGGACGCTCTGTTAGAAAATCCTTAATGTATTTTATAGACCTTCCATTAACATCCAAACCCAACATATGTTGATCTGGATAGTATTAAGCACTGAACTCAAATCAAGAAATAAAATCTGCACAAATTAGTAGCGTATCAGGAAATACTTGGACAAAAACAGCACATTACACAAGTTGTTCTCTTCAATGACATCTTTTGTCCCTGATTAAAGTAGCTTAACAGACCCAAATAAACCTTCATACCACACTGACTGTCTGTTTTGCATTATCTTGCTGGATTGGAACACAACTGAAGACTGAAGATTTCCTTGCATTAAGGTTTAATTTAGAGATGGGTCACTGTCATCCTGGCTGGAAGACTAGAAGTTTTCCTACAGGATTTGTAGGTTTTTCTCCACCGATAAGAACTTTTGACCTGCTGACCTGCTAAGACCAATTAAAAAAATAATTAGTTAAATTAAGCGATGAAAGTTACAACCAGAACTGTAAAGAAAGCTAATTTCTTTTCTTGTTTGTAATTTCTTATCTGTTAGAAAAAAAAACACCACTGTGCCAAAAGACTGTCCTTTCAGACACAGGACCAGCAATATTTATCCTTTTAAACAAGAATTACAGCGCAATTTTTATTTTATTTTATTATGTAGAGGTGCGCATAATATACAGGTACTGATGAGTCTGCTCAAAAGACTTCAGCACATGTGCTATGGTTGTCCTGGACCACAACAAAAACGAGCTAGCAGGTTCAATTTTAAGACGATGGGAAATTGTAAAAGAACAAGAAAGTTCTGTATTTTATTATAAGAATCCCGTTAGATTCATTCCTAGATGAGATGTAATTTCCTGGCACAGCACACATAGATACAAAGACAATTTTGTCACAATTTTCCCAGAAGCTACATAACCTACCTGTATGCCTTTGGACTGTGGGAGGAAACCAGAGCACCTGGAGAAAACCCACACAAACACGGGGAGAACATGCAAACTCCACACAGACAGCACCCTGGTCTAGAATTGAACCCAGGGCCCCAGCGCTGTGAGGCTGCAATACTAACCACTGTGTCATTGTGCTTCCCTCTGGTGCTAACTATGTTATGTGAATTCATACTTTCATATTCAGCCGGACACAACAGTGTCCTCTTGCTGTTAAAAAGGTTAATGACATAGAATGAATGTACTGGCTCTTTCCGGGCTATTTCACACCCTGCATCACAGCCTGTAGGAGTATCAACAACAACAAGACATGCTGCTCTAGTTTCAAACGAGAAAAAATAAAAATCTTGTGCAACCTTGTCTGTACAGATGGCTGTTACATAACTCCCAGCAGTGGGTTTGGAATTCAATCAAGTAGAAAATCATTATACAATATACAGTAGGTGTTTTTGATTAGGTGTGACTGCATTCATGTTTTTAAGAATTGATATTGTCTTTGGGTCCTACAACAAACCATTTATACAATAAGAAATCACAACATAATAAAACACAGCCTACAAACATGTGTTGTTCTTATGTCATCGGTAATATATTGGTCTTAGGAATTCTAAAAGAACTACAGGGCCTTGCAAAAGTATTCACCTGCTTTCACTGATGTCTCATTTGGTTGAATTCTAAATGATACGTGTGCTTTTTTTAAAGGGAATAATGTTAATCAAAACATGAATGCTCAAACGGAACACGTTTATGGGTGAAAGAAGCTAAATGGCAGCAAAAACCATAAAGAAAGATCCAAAAATAAAATACACATGTAAAATATAGTAGGTCTGTGATGGCTTTGGTATCAACTCAGATCTGTGGGCTTAATAGTCGTGTCACAAGAGTCTGGAGTCCTTGAGTATTTTATTTTCCTGTTGTCCCTCACCTTTGCAAAACGTAAAAATGCCCACTTTCCCTTATCCCAGTTTATTCCCCACTTTAAATACCCAAATTTGAATGAATTTTGCCCCATCACAACTAATGAGTGCTCACTGACATATGTTGCAGTATATTTACAGAAATGTTTGTGAGCAATATACAATTAGAGTTTCATTTTCCAAAACAGAAAAGTTTCACAGAGAAGACTTTTGTGGATTGGATCCAAGGTGAGGTTACATTTTACTGGTGGGGTTTGTCTTGCACTGGATTGTTGTCCTAAAGAATGTGTGAAAAGGAAGTGCAAACACAAATTTGACTGTAATGAGCATGTCTACGAGTTGTACACAGAACGTGCCTGAGAGGGCTGTAACCCATGAGCCCATAATTCTAATGTTTTATTTCTTTCAGACATATAAGAAAATCCAATAAAAAAAACAGATTCAATATAAAGTCTCATGGGCTCACTTTGATGTTAATTAGTCAGCTTCCGCCTTTTTAAAACTAATAAAATCTCTTAATTGAGAGCTTAAACTAGTTTGTTGTTGTAGTCTTCTTTGATTTCACTGACTCAAGGTCCCAGGTTAAAAAAAAAAAAACATCTTGACTCACCCCAAAATCACATATGGTAGTTGAAAACCAATACTGGATAGCAGCTATCCATTTTCTACACACAGGAGCCCTCAAAACTCAACATTTTCTGTTGTTGAGATCCAATACATTTGGCTCATGGGGCAAGTCTTTCCCAAACTCAAAATGTAAAAAAAAAAATGATGACAATACCAACATGCGCCAAATCCTTCACAAATGCTACTACTTGCAATTGCTGGTAACTACATTATTGTTCTGTGCTTCATGCTTTGCACGTAGAAAAATCTGAAATGTGAATAACATTTCATAATATGTTCATATTGAAATCGGGATTCAGAAGAGTCTGTGCTTTAATTTACAGTACATGCGTCAATCAGACTGAAGCAGTTACATATACTGTACGTCTGGGGCTCAGCCAATGAAGCAGTAAGGAATCTGTTGGTGTTGGGAGATCAGAGACAGACTGTGGCAGATGTGTGGACTCACTGCTGTGAACTCACTAGCTTACACCAGCTGGCTTTAAAATCAAGTAAACGTTGTGAGTTTGAAGCGCAGTCTCTTGGGAAACCGTTTCGATTCAAAGTAATGTGTATTGATTAATGGACCCCATTACTACATTGTCACCTTGGAACACGGAAACAGGAATTACTATCCCAGAGCTCAATTTAACATCACCTTTTTTTATTTCCAACAGGTGCATTCTTTATCCCATACCTCATTTTCCTCTTTACCTGTGGTATCCCAGTGTTTTTTCTGGAGACATCGCTAGGACAGTATACGAGCGAGGGGGGCATAACGTGCTGGAGAAAGATCAGCCCGCTATTCGAAGGTAATGAAAGAAAATTTGTCTGATTTGTTCTTTCGTTGTGGAACTGCAAAATTCCCCAACGCAATTCCGAGACGTCCCCACTGCCCTGGGTGAGGATTGACAACGACACGCATGTTTGCTCTCAAAACCACCTGCTTCGTTTTTTTCACACTGCAAGACTGTACCGGCATGCTTTTTGTTTGACACAGAGGGCTGACTCACACATGCAGGGCTGCTCGGATGGGGTTGCTGTCCGTACATAGGTGTCAGCCCCTGATGGAGACCACTGGGAGATCTCAGCAAGTCTTTCTAGATTTCCAGTAGCACTCATGGAGCTATATGGCCAATCCTGCCTCCTAAGTAACTGCCTATGGTTCCATTTCAAGGATGTTTTTGGTATTGACTAGTTTAGTAGTAACTGTTGTCTTATTTCCCCAGGCACCCAGGATTACCATTACAAACAGATCTTTTGTGTACACTATATAAGAGGATCTCCAATGCTGATAATAACCTAGAATTGCTAAACGCCATATAAAACTGGCCTACATATTGGCTCCTGGTTGATCATCTTCTACAAATCTTTATGCTGCCAAAATCAATGAGGGGATTAGTTAGTGTTTAAGTTCCTTCAAGCAAACCTTCGTACTATTATCTCTTTTATTTCCTGGCTTCAGCAGTAACATTTCATGGACAGTGCAGTGGCACAGCTAAAATAAATATTAGCATTGCTTACTCATCACTAAACCAATGGGCAGACTAGATCTTACATCCCTATAGGTGGGACGAGAGCTTAATGCTTACAAAGTAACAGTAGTATATTTGAAAGGAGGCGAAAAGATGGGGGTAACTTTTAAGAGTTCTAGGCTGCCACAGCTAGAAATAAGTAGCTTCCTGTAGTGGATGAACGGATGAATATCACTTCTTGAGTACTGTATGTGGCATTTCAATCTTCCAAAATAAAGGGGCACTGTGAGTAGGAGAAAGGAAGGGAGTTAATGCTACTGTGATCACAGTTACAGGAGGGGATGGTGATTGAGAGGAATTCTTTTGGTGCCGATGACACTCTTCGGAGCTCGGCGTTGTGAATGGAATGGCTTAGCGGCAGCCTGGCACCCTCAGTCCCTGGCTCTTATCCAGACAGCTTTCGTCACCAGCTGGAAGGTCCCCAATGTGCTGGGCTGCAGAAATCACCACCAAAGCCTATACAGTAGCTTTGGAAATGAAGTGTGCAAAATATGAAGCAAGGCGTGGCTGGGAGGAAGAAAACGGGACACATTTCACATTACAGCGGGTTCTTCATTGACTCTGCTGGATAGGATGATGTGTTCAAATCTGGAATTTAAGTGTCTTTTATTTTTTTTAAGTTCCAGCCACTCTGTTACTTCTTATTGCCTTATATGTGTTGGCAATGTGTTTATTTAGGCTAAGAAAGAGGCACCAAGATTTCCACAGGCTACAAGAGCCTTAAAGCCATGTCAGCATTGATCAACGTGTTATATCCCTTTTTAAAGGAAAACAGCTCTGTGTTTTAGGCAGTAAATCATTAGCTTCAGCCGATCCCTTTTATACCTCCCAAATCACATCATACTCGTCCGAATGATTGCTTTAATTTGTATTTCCGCAGGTTGTTAGAGATGTTAAGAGCCGACTCACTTGACCTTTTTAATTGCATACAGTGCTTCAGCTGGAAACCTTTAACTCTATTTCGACTCTCAAAAAGCAAGGCCCAGATTAAAATAAAAAAATCCAACAACTTTTATTTAAAGCAGCCCAATCCAAAAATCACACGTCCAGTATGAGACAAGACAGAGGATGCTTTGTTTCATTTAACCTACGTTAAAGTCTTCATCAATGAGTTTCAATGTAGTTGCAACTGCACCCTCCCACTTTCTCCCATCCTCTATGAAATTGAATTTTGTGAATATTTCCTTACATTTATCACGTGCTTTTCATCCCGAAGGATCTCAAGGAACTTGACATACTGTGTGGCCAGCTGCCACATCACCTCAGAATTGGCTGCCCCACTGAAGCTCAGCAGGTGTGAGCCTGGCCAGTACCTGGATGGGAGACCTCCTGGGAAAAACTAAGGTTGCTGCTGGAAGAGGTGTTAGTGGGGCCAGCAGGGGGCGCTCACCCTGTGGTCCATGTGGGTCCTAATGCCCCAGTATAGTGATGGGGACACTATACTGTGAACAGGCGCCGTCCTTCGGATGAGACGTAAAACTGAGGTCCTGACTCTCTGTGGTCATTAAAAATCCCAGGGCGTTTCTCGAAAAGAGTAGGGGTGTAACCCCGGCGTCCTGGTAAAATTTTGCATTGGCCCTTACCAATCATGGCCTCCTAATAATCCCTATCTATGAATTGGTTTCATTACTCTGCTCTCCTCCCCACTGAGAGCTGATGTGTGGTGAGCGTTCTGGCGCGCTATGGCTGCCGTCGCATCATCCAGGTGGGGCTGCACATTGGTGGTGGTGGAGGGGAGTCCCCATTACCTGTAAAGCGCTTTGAGTGGAGTGTCCAGAAAAGCGCTATATAAGTGTAAGCAATTATTATTATTATTATTATTATTACCTGGATGGAAGACGTCCTGGAAAAAACTAAGGTTGCTCCTGGAAGAGGTGTTAGTGGGGCCAGCAGGGGGCGCTCACCCTGCGGTCTATATGGGACCTAGTGCCCCCGTATAGTAACGGAGACAAAAAAGGCGCTGTCCTTCAGATGAGATGTAAAACTAAGCTCCTGACTCTCTGTGGTCATTAAAAATCCCAGGGCGTTTCTTGAAAAGAGTAGAGGTGTAACCCTGGCATCCTGGCCCTTGGCCCTTTCCAATTATGGCTTCCTAATAATTCTCATCTCTAAATTGGCTTCATTATGCTGTTCTCCTCCCCACTAATTCTACTCTTCCTCACTAATTCCTCCCCACTAATTCTATTCTACTCTTCCCCACGCTCACCACACATCAGCTCCAGAAATTAAATTGGAAATTCTGGCTCAGAAACCAACACCACTTACAGGGGCAACCTGATATCCCTGAAGCAACCTTCCAGGGGCAACCTGATATCCCTGAAGCAACCTTCCAGGAGCAACCTGATATCCCAGTCATGAGTAGCCCCATCCTTGCTTAGTTTCTGAGACCTGAAGAGATCAGGCTACAGGGTGGTACATAGTACTTGCCAATAAGACTGATCTTAGAATAAAAGAATCCACACCAGCAATGAAGCAATTAACCTCTTTTATGTCTTTTTAGTGTTTGTATCCAAAAATGGTTTGGCAATGGATTTCTATTGCCCAAAAATGTACAGTATAATATTGATCTGCCTATTTAACATTTACTAAGAATAAATGTGACAATGCTTCATTTACCCGGGGTTTAAAAAAAAATTGTATTACCTTTACGTGAACAGCCTTTGCTTTGCAATTGTACTGAGTTTCACGTGAGTTTCAGTTTTGCATCCTTAAGAAAATCACAAAGCTGTCACCTCTTGAGCCCCTTTGCAAAACTTTAATTTTCAGGTACTCTCTCTTTCTCACACTGTTCTCATCCACAGCACATTTTTGATTTAACAGAACAGTAATTCTACCTTGTGGAAATGAGTATACAAACAGCAGTTTAGATTGGAGCTTTTAAAGATCCAATTCCTTAATTGTAGGTAAAACTAAATGATAATGTTTTTTTTCTCTATTAGCCCTATACAATTTCTTGCACTAGGAATTTGTCTTTTCACATACCCTAGCTTTTCTCCATGAGACACAGACAAACAGACAGGGAAGCTTGGGGTCAGAGTGCAGGGTCAGCCATTGTACAGCACCCCTGGAGCAGTTGGGGTTAAGGGCCTTGCTCAGGGGCCCAACGGAGTAGGATTCCTCTGCCGGGTGCAGAATTTGAACCAGCAACCTTCCAGTCACAGGCACAGATCCTTAGCCACAGAGCCAGCGCTCCACCCTTGAAAAGAGGTGACAAAGTCACCTCTTTTTGACAGTTATTCATTTTTTCCCTTTTCTTTTTATTTAAATGTCTGCAGAGCGCACTGGTTAGAAATTTGTAGTACGGCTATGCTGTATGTACCACAGTGGGTCTCCTCCTGTTTACAGCGCTGAACTCATGTTTTATACCACTGAGGCTTAGAGGTGTGAAGGAGATTAAAATAAAAAAAGAACGACTTGTTTTCCGTACTGATAGATTGTATCAAGTATTTACAGTACAACAAATAGATAGCTTAGTTCAATTTATTAATGAAGCATCTTAATGACTGGTGTCTGTGCCAGTGCATTGCTTAGGTTTCATGCTTTTACCGTTTTTCTTTGCTATTTACCTGTTGGCTTTTGGGTTTGCTGTACATATTTATTTAAACGTTTTAATGTCTGTAGCTATTTCAAAGCCTTTCAGTGCCTCACCTTCACTTCAGTTCAATTTTTCACTCTTTGTTAAAGGTCATGCTGGCCTTCTGAGTCCCCCCGAATGTCTATGTTTCACCTCACATACGAATTTTTACTGTATTTAGTGTTTTGTTACTGTAGGTCTAGGTTCATGACCAATGGTTAACACCATATCGGCTGGTGACTATTATGTTTTGAAAGAAGTATACTAGTATGCAGTATTCAATCGAGTTTCTCTCCTTCCCTGCAGGTATTGGCTATGCTACACAAGTTATTGTAGCTCTTCTGAATTTCTATTACATCGTCGTACTGGCCTGGGGCATCTTCTACTTGTGTAATTCCTTCACATGGGATCTACCCTGGTCCTCCTGCAACAACACGTGGAATACAGGTAGACTTATATTTTTGGTGGTAGACCCCTGCAGCTTCTAATATTGGGAAGATTAGGGATTAAAATTCGAGAAACCCGTAGGCAGATTAAATAGGGCTTCTCAGTGGCAAGCAGTATGCAGTTGACTCAAAGAGCATAAAGTAGACCTTCCCTGATCAGAACAATCACTGAACATACCAAATTGCTGCAATTCAATTATCCTCAAGCCATCCTCAGCTGGCAGCCCAGCCAGAATAGATGAGATATGGCTCTAATATTTCAAAACCTTGAATATACGACACACTCACTACAATACATTATCAAAGCTGTTTTTGCTCGTGTTACACAACTGATTAGACCTTGGTTCTTGCGAATTTCTCAACCTTATGGAACTCAAAATGTTAAAGTATTTCTTGGACCAACAAAACTGAATTTGGTGAATTAGGATTCAGCCTCTTTTTATCAAATAAATCAAAATAGATTTAGTTCAATTGAGATTTGTCCCCCCCCCCCCGAAAAAAAAAGAGAAATTGTAATTATTACTTAATCCATCTTCCAAATGGATAAGAATGGTATTTGTGCCCATCCAGATAATATATATTTAAGTAAAAGTAATGACAGTTTGGGTCTTGAGTTTGGAGTTTGGTCTCCTCAAGTTCACATGTGTTTTCTCCAGGTACTCTAGTTTCATACCATCTTATAAAGAGAATCGCCCTTTTCTAAACCACGGTTGTGTTCTGTTCCCAGAGACGTGTGTGGAGTTTCAGAGGCGAAATGAGTCATTCAACTCCACGGTTGCTGCTAACGCCACTTCCCCTGTCATCGAGTACTGGGAGTAAGTCCTGTGTTTCACTGTGTGTGTTTCTGAGAGGGTTTGTGTGTGTATTTCAGTCAGCTACTGTTCCTTGTGAGCAGGCACATAACTCAGGTTTCCTCTATGCACCAGATCTGTTTATAGGCTTTGGAATTGCTACTTGCCAATCTACAGTATGGAACACTGTTGATGATTCTCTTCAATACACAGTAGGAGATACTGCTGTTGTACACTTGAGCACGGATCTTCACCAAAATTGTTTCAATCTAAAATACTACTGTATAAATCAGTACAAATACAAGTTGCTTTGGACGAAAGCATCGGGTAAATAAATTGATTTTCTGAACAATCCCTTTTTTCTGCAAAAGAGTTTTTATATCCTTAAAGTGTCCAAAAAAGTGCTGCAAATATGCAATAATTTGCATGCTTTGTTTCTCATCACCTCTTTTATCACCAGTATATCAAGAACCAAGAGAAACATATCACTCAAGTTATGGATGTTTGTTTTTTAGAAAACTAAAGCACACAATATCTGGATATTGATTAAATGTTTTGCCATCTTTCTTGATTAACTGGTAGATTGATTGCTCACGACTAATCGTGATAGACTTGAGTCATACTGACCAGGCTCACACCTGCTGAGCTTCAGTGGGTTGCCAGTTGTGAGTTGCAGGGTGATATGGCTTCTGGCATAGTAAGTTATATAGTAAGCTATCGGTGGGTTCAGTAGACTTCTTCCTTGCCAATCCAGGATCAAATCCTGCAATTTATTTCATGTGTGTAAACAACCCTAGTTTGGTGAATTTCATCGCTGCACCAAAATGACTTACAACTGTCACCAAGAGGCACCAGGGTAAAGATTTTACTAAATTCACTCTGACACTCCTATTACTAATCACAGCTGCTCAATGGAGGCAAGAAAATGGGAATGTTCTTCTGATTACAGAAGAAAGCAAATGTTTTTTTTTTACTTAAAGTCAAATAAAGGTCTCATGCAGGATAGTCATCACTTTGGTTGTCTTGTCTTCAATTTGCACTGTATTCTTTCTCCCTTTTGTATCTGTTCAAAGGAATCGGGTGCTGAGGATATCCTCAGGAATAGATCACATTGGCGTTCTTCACTGGGACCTTTCTCTGTGTCTTCTAGCAGCCTGGATCATCTGCTACTTCTGTATATGGAAAGGAGTCAAGTCCACAGGAAAGGTCAGTTCTAGCAATGACTCCAGCAAACTGCCCAGGTTCAGATTACAATCATTGAAATATGTCGGGCAAAAGGAGAATCTTTTTGCTTTTGATTCATTCACAAAGTTTCTGCTTTCCCTCTCTTTTCTACTTTTCAACGTGGAATTCACCTTCACTTGCTCCTTTGCAGCCAACA